GAGTTGAGGCATTCAGCGAAATCGAGCCTTAAACGCTGTAATATATAACTAGTAGAAAAAATTCGTTGATCACATATAAATATGGTAGTGCTCAACCGCAATCCGAGTCATTGATAACAAGATCTACCATCGGTTCTGCTGAACTGGAAACGATGAACCATCAGAATATAAGAAACAAGTCAAAACACGGCACATTCAAGTGTTTAATCCGCATGATAATAATCGCTCAGTATGCCTTCAAGAACGTTGATGATAAAACACTTATATCTCTTTCGGATATAAATAAGTTGCGCTTGAACAAAAAACTGACCGATCGCAATTCAGATACACTCACAAAACTTGCGAATCGACTCAAGGGCCCTTATAATGTGATAAGTGTTGTGGTGCCCATCGGTGTACAAATATCCGAAAGTATCATGCTCTTTCAAGAGAATGACCATCAAATTTCCGCTAAGGTTGTCGCTTGATTCGTTTGATCTCTGTAATCAGTTTTCTGTTCATTGCCAATTTTCAAACAAATTAACAAGAAAATGACTCGAGTGTGTATGTTGAATGAAGTAATTTTGAGGTGATACAAAAGTGTTTCAAAAATTCGAATAAACAATTGATAAAAAAGCGTGATATTGACAAATCGCAATTATCACCGAACATAACAATAACATCTACTCAACTTCAACTATCCGAGCCGAATAGCAGTGTCAATACTCAAATGATGATTTCATTCATTGACCGGGTTTGTTTCAGTTTTGCATTCTTTATCCCTTTTCTATGCGTTGCCCATATTGATAGTCACTTCTTGAACACTTTCTATGCATAGTCAGTCCTTGAACACTCTGCACACCGTATGCTTCAGAGGAATTGCATCTGAAGCTATCGAATCTGAACCGCTTCTTCGAAAGGCAGTAATCTTTAAAAGACACAACGAGTTAATTGAGTTGCAAAAAAGTTACCTCTATAAAGAATTGTTGCAGTTGTCAGTTCCATAGCGTGCAATGGTTTGTGTTAGTTTTAGTTGGCAACAACGCGAGGGTTTTGGCGATCGCTTTCGAAATCGATTTGTATTGATGGTGAATGGGCAGAGTCGGCGAGCGGAGATGTACCGTGTTGGAATGGAACTCATCTGAGTGATTATAACCGACCACTGGTTGGTGATGGCATTCGCAATCAAATGCTCAATCCTGAATTCGATTCGTCCAACAACCTTTCATCAGGTTCTTGAATTGTAATCACATTTCATATCAAGCATACTCCTTTCAAACAAGCTTTCAAAACCGTTCCGTTGCAGCACTTCACACCGAAATGAGCAGTTAGTGCGAATAAACACTAGCAATAAGCCGTGAAACAAATGAATAATCGATGAAGAATGAAACTGAAAGTGACTGAAGTAACGC